ATAACAACAAACAAACTCACCTAAATAGCATTATCCTCAGACTGGCGGATGTTTGCGACAGGGCACCACCATTTTTGAAAATCGTAAAATCACGGGCTAAAGTCTGTTAGAATTAATGAGATTGTGGTTGGTTTTCATCAAGTTAGAAAATCAAAACTACTTTCTACTCATAGTTAAATATGTATTTGAATTATGACCAAAAGGATTTTGCATGACACAACTTATAACATGACGATTTCTTCCACGGAAGCGAGGTGGGGGTCGAAGTGACAATACTGCGCGATAAATTTCTTGCTACATTCACGTGGTTAATGTCCACTCACCAGTATGTAGATACTAGTCAATGTACGTCTTTATATTTGGTCTTATATCATACTTGTATGCATTTTGAAACTAAATAAAAAGCAGACGATCTGCTGATACTTATAGTGAATTTATAACAGGACTGTAATATCTAGATATTTTATAGTTTGCCAATGTGAATCATAATTCGCACACACGCCCTAGTGTATGTTGTCTGTCTCATTACACTTCACGGGGAAAACAATGATTCTGTTGAATGCTACGACAAATGAATAAAAACAAAATGCAAATATTAAAATTAAAACAGATTAAAGTTATAGGAACAATGTCAGGCTATTACCTTGTTCGAGGAATGTATCCATCAATATCCACAAAAACGAGTGATATGCTATTCATCTGCAGCTGTTCCAAGTGATGTGTCTTTTACAGTCTACTATACGAAAAAGTGATATATTGTTTCAGGTATTTCACATTGGTGTATAGTCTCATTGGTCACCCAAGATAGTACACCTGGCAACTAATTGCATAATGTCCGCCATTCTTTAAAAACGGTAATTTACTTAGCCAATAATGAGCAATCAATCCATGTATTGGTGGTTAATCCTTTGATAGAAGGACGTTGTTTTTACGCAGACACAGACACGACAGAGTGTATTCAGTATAGATTAGTAAATCTACATACATAAACACTACCTTTTGACAAATCCGCTGTGTAAAATAAAAGTAATTAATCAATCAGCGTGTTATCGGTTGATCCTTTGATCGATGTTTATAATGTTGAGTATTTACTCCAGACACAAGAAATGCCAAATGGGAACCTTTGTCGGGTAATCTAAGTGGTGTTACCACTAATTGTATCTGTTATAAATTCATTAACTGACCATCAAGTGAATGATGACAAATAACATGTGTAGGATTATACCACCTAACACGGGTTACAACAAGGGAGTATTCATTGCTGCATTGCATACAATTTTAATTGTATGTGAAAACTTATGGGCCGACACTGTTTTGAGAATACGAACAGAACTTCATTGTTGCATAAGAAATACATATAAGCATTTGCTGTATGCTAAAACTGTATGTACCTATTTACCTAAGTAAATTTTCAGATTCTTCTAGCAATGGCAAAGTAGGGTTGTTTAGTTTACAGATTCAAATAAATCAATTGTCAATTTTTACGCAGTAGACGTCATTTTTACATGACATGATTAAATATCAAGTTTAAAAAAACCCACAGAAATGAGATAAATTTGGATCAGTCATTTTACCATCCAGGCATCAGAAAACCTGAAAAAGCCCACACTGCTTTGATGCTTTATTACAATCAGACAAGAACTACCAAGGATATTTTCAAATAACTGCATCTGATTGGCATCCACCCTTCTTAATGTCGCACTGTTTTGGTTGAAGAAATTAACGGTAACCGTGATGAGCGAGGCTGATCATTGTTTTCACTATCACTAGCGTCTGGCTCAAACAAATAAAGCCTAGCGACACCAAGCGATTTTGACAGAATCGTCTATGAAAACTAGTTGTAACTCGGAAACTAGGCAAAGCAGGAGACAAAATTAAATGACAGTAGATTGTGAGAACATATAGCTCTCATTTTTCACAACAGTTGTCACAATTTCAGGTTTATACAAACCTGTAAACAAGATAATTTACCCCCTGAAATGTACATGAATTCTGCATCGGCCCTCATATCTCTTCCTCATATGACGTCACAGAGACGCGCTGCTCTGATTGGTTGAAATGTCGTTCAAGGGTGAGAATTGTGCACTGTTGTCAAAAAGGTCGATTTAAGTTAATTAAAGATCGGAATGAGTAGTTTTAATGACTGGGTTTCATTTATAACGATGCCAATTAGTGATTGATGTATTTGTACCCCTGTAGAGTATATGTGATCTTTAACGCACATAAGCATTGCTTTCGCGTAATACCTTCATACCATTTCCTGTCAACAGGGTTGTGACTTTTGCTAACAGAATTACCAAACTGCCCCACCGTTGCTTGCTGAGCTGGTTTTCTGTCTACAGTGCTTCTTTGCGGGTGCTTCCAGGACAATGCGAGTCCTCAAGTCCATTCAATTGGACTCTAGTCCTGCTTTACCCGACTCGGACCCGAGTACTCATGCGAGCCCTAGCTAATTGACAAGAATGTGCCATTTCTTCCTGAAAATACTTTTAAAGTACTTTCGGAAATAGAAAAAATAATGTTTTTAGGCTGTTTCTTTGTATCCCTAAAATGTATATAATTGCAAATAGCATATGTCGAAATAACCCACATTGGCCTAACTGAGAGTTCAGTAGGATGCGTAATAGGGTATCCAGAAAAGCAAGTTTACTCGTAAAATCAGGCAAAACTTTCGAATAGCTGCTGAAAACAATAGATCAGACTATAAATGGCAATTAGGTCGCTCAGCCAGGTATGATGATGGACTGTCGACTCACCGGGCATGAAATGCATGTGCTGCATACAGGCACAAGGGGTCATCTCAAAGATATTTTATACTTTTTCATGTGCGTTGTATACGTCTCATCTATTGATTAACATCTTACGTGTCTTCCTTTCATAAAGTTTATGTTGAGATATGTAAAAGAGAACTATACCCATAGAAAAGCTAAAATTAGCCATTGTATTAAATGTCTCAAAATGTATAGGTGACATGACCACCCGAAGATCGACAAGACTGGATATTATTTGTAAATTGTTATGAATTGTTACTTCACCAGTTTCATTCCTCTAATATAAAGGATTATCTTATATAAGCTGATATCTGTATCCCCCAGCCCGACCCCAACCACTGTCTGCGACACCCGTCCTGGTTTTGCTTTTGAGATGACCCCTCCTACCTGTTTCTTTTTATGATGATAGTGAGACTGCGTCCTTAATAGTTTCAGTATTAAAGTTATTAGTTTTTACGTCAGCTATCATTTATTATGAAGCTAATTTTAATTTCAAAATGGACATTTAAAAAGTTTCCTTTATAATACAATATCATCGCACACTAATTTACATAAAGCCATGGTCTGTTCCAAATAAGTCGCTTTCGACTTAAAGAAAAACTGCATTGCTCATTTCTGCACTAATCTCTCCTCAGTAAAGTCCTTTTTCTACGTTTCCTATCTCCCTACCACTGAGACTGTAGTTAGGCCGAACTTAGTTTAAGAGATATTTCACACTTTCACATATTAACTACCTAAATTGTAGATATAAATCCGAATTTTTCTATTTCCAACAGTACTTTAACACCCCACATGATTGCTATGACTAACAACTAACCTACAGTTAAGTCGACCAGAAAGCATTTCAATTAGTTAGATTTCCTATTTTCACGGCATAACAGAAATCAATATCACCTTTTAGTTTTCATTGAAAGTTTCACAAAAATGAAATTTAATTGTAAGGTTAACTTGAAAAATACATTTCAGGGCAAATACTAGGTAACAAAATGAATGGCGATAAAGGTCACGAGTTTGCTTGCTCTAGGTATGTTGATGATTGAAAACCAGACACAACGGGGCGCAAAATGCCACTTCACTAGACTTATACACATACAACTTGCCCTTGATAGCCTCATTATCTTTTGTATCCAACATCAAATCAGATGGTACAAACTCTGTGAGGTTTCCTGCACAACAATATACCTAATGTCTTCTGATATAAACCTAAGCACACAGGGTTGTCTCCCAGTTGACAGACACTGAACTGGAAGGCTAATTACTAATTAGCGTAACACCTACGGGTATAATGGAACAGTCCACTGTCTACTGAGAAGTTTGATTGTTTGTAAATTGAACTTTGTTGTGATTAAATGATAATCTGTCTTATCTTCTCAAAATTGTTTTTACTATTAAATACTATCAAATATAAAAACAGGTTTGTCACTGAGAGAGTGTGTTTATTGATTGAAACATTTAATTCATTCAAGAAAAGGATTGGGCACAAGTTATCAAACTTAGGAAAGCTCTCTCCCAATAATTACACAATTCATCTTACAACAATGTACACAAGTGACAGACATAGGCTAGGATATGTACAACAGAAGTTAACTGAGAAAATTTTTCGTTTGAAAGATATAGATATGTACATATTTGAAAACATTCTGATTTTCAGTAATTGAGAGACCTGCATTGCCATGTAAGATAAGATTAATACCAATCAGTTTTCTATGTTTAACAATATTGTCTAAAGATTTTATAACAGTTAATGTTCTTGAATAGTGTACAATTGACATTCAAGAAAGAATGAAAAACATTTTCACATCCATGGCTACATTGACATGATGTGTCATTTTATACATTTATTCTAAATATATATCATAATTAAGTGTGTTCGTCATATATCTTAACCTTTTCTGCAAAACATTTAACTTCTTTATTCCATATGAATAATATTTAGGTACCCACTTTTCTTTCAAAGGGAGTATCATTCCACATTTTTTTAATTTTATTATATAATGTTAATTTGCATCTTCTCCTTCTCACAGTTAAGTAGATCCATCCTGTTTCATAATACAACGAACTGGAAGACCAGTAACTATGCGAGCTGCTTCAAGTTGGAGTTTTCCAATCTATTGGTTTGCTTGCAAGGGTACGCACCCCCATGTTGTCCTGAATTTTTATTAAATGACCATTGAAACTCTCGTGAAAATGAAGAGTGCGCGCGCGCGCACGCACGCACGCACCCCTCCCTTTCTCAAAAAGCTGTATCCGCCCCTGCATACCGCACGAGCGTACTCAAAATGTGGCCATATATATTTTTGCAGTATATATTTTTGCTAATGTTATTCTAATTAGTAGGACCTTTAATTTCTGAAATGCTCCTATCATTTTAGATTTTTTGACAATCTTTTCTATATGATGATGCCAACTCCCTGGCTTGTTCACTGATCCCCATTTTTTTGTAATTCGAAATAAAATATGTTTAAACTAACTCCCATTAGACGCGAAAGTTAAACCAAAATGTTTATGAAAATCAAAATTCAAAATAATGTCTTTTGGGGTATCTTTCAAAGTAAATGATATAGCTTCAGTTTTCTTTCTTGTGTTTTTATTTGGACTATTCCATTATAATATCTAGGTAAAAGATAGTACCTTATCTCTTCATTGAACGGTAACTGTTGTTTTTTTCCTTATCCTGACTCATGCTATATTCTTATTTCATGCTTTATTGCTTATCTCCCTTCTCCTTCGACGGTTAAGTGGAAGCTTGATTCCCTTCCAGTTCACTGAAGCGAATGTACAATCACTCACCCTGGAGTTACCTCCCTTGCCTTTCCCGCCAAAAGCGCACCCACGTGACCAAAGGCATGCTGTCCTCACTCTCTCCGTATATTCCCCCACACAGGCTTACTGAGAAGCCCGTAGTAGTGAGAGGGGACGGTTGGGAGGGCTACTTCTCATGAGTAACTAGCTAGGTGCCGGAAGATACAAGAATCTTTCTCGCATGGACAATTGTCCACCAATTTGTCGAGGAGGCGTTGGTATCGCAAGCACCACAAGAGGCAGTCATTGTCGTACAGTTTCTCTATGTTCGAGAAACAGCAGTGGATCGCGATTTCTTCCGGAACCTTGAGTGGGAGTCGCTCCTGGGGTGTGTATTCTATCACTTTCTTTTCCAGAGAACCCATTTCTTGCTGCCGACGCAGTGGTCGATGGCGCCACACTTGCATGTAGAGCTGTCTGGTTCGAAGAGAGTGGGAAGTTTCAATATAGCGATGAGGCAGTCGGTGCATCGGTTGTGTCTGCCCTTGGGTTCTGGGCAGTAGTCACTGGCGAGAACGATTCCGAGTTTGCCTGCTGTGGGTAGAAATCGGTTGGGTGGGTAGATGTAGACAAGATTTGCCGTCTTCTTCAAATTGGCGAAAGCACAGCAAATAGAGTTCGAGAAACTGGCGAGGGATCTGGTATCGCTTGTAGAAAGTGTGTCCCGATTGCTCCAGGATTTGTTTCTCTCGGTCGGAAAGCAAGAGATGGGGACACTTCTCCAGTAGGGTCTCAAACACTTCTGCCATATTGGTATCTAACAAAATAAAAAATATGTAAATACTGGTCGTTGTGTGTTCAAGGACCCGTGAAGATCCAGGTTAGAATTGATCTTATGTAACCCATGCTTGTCATAAGAATGGACTAACGGGATCGGGTGGTCAGACTCGCTGACTTGGTTTACACATGTCAACGGCTCCCAATTGCGCAGATCGATGCTCATGCTGTTGATCACTGGATTATCTGGTCCAGACTTGATTATTTACAGACCGCCGCCATAAAAATGGAATATTGCTGAGTGTGACATAAAGCTAAACTCACTCACTCACTCGTATGTTCAAAACTTGCACCAGTGACTATGTTCCTCAAATATTCACAGAGCTCCAGATAAGATTTAGCTCATGTGGGTACTGTACCATGTGCCCTTAAAAGCTCTGCCACAATTGACATTTTTAAGTCCAGACTTAAAACGCACCTTTTCTCAGTATATTATGTATAACTTCATCTGTAAACACTCCATGCAGTGTAAATATTCTGTAGCGCTTTGAGCATGCCTTAGGGTGTGGAAGGGGCGCATTATAAATATGCATTTATTATTATTTATTATTATTTTTTTGGAGTGAGTATTATGAATGTTGAGTGGGTATTTCTTTTTCCGTTACCCACTGCTTTCAAATATGTGCGTATTTCAGTCATTTTACTTACTTATGTCATTGAGTAAGTTTACTAAGCAGGTATGTTCTGCCTTATGTCATACCTAATCAAAACCAACTTAAATATAATGGAAATGATTTCATAAAAAATCACTCATCCTGTACTGACAGTGCAACACTAGTGCCATACTAACAGTACAACTTGATAGCAATCGATGTCTTTTACATTACGCAAGCGATTTTTATAAATATATTCCGTACGCATTTGTTTTCAACTTTTTGCGTATCTAACATTTTCAATGCGTAATTGGAAATTTTCTATGCGTATTTTACCCGGATACGCAGCTTATCTGGACCTCTGTATTCACATGTTATTTATGTGTTAAGGCTTATAGGATGTTTAGTTTTGTAATGTAACGTAATGTGAATTCTCCCTTGCAGTACCGCCAGAAAGGGATAACTGGGTCCCTCTTCAGTGGAGGCAGACAGGCTGTGTGATAGTCAGACACCAAACCACCCATCTCCTACAAGGATCATACCAGTGTCGCAGGCATGAAGAAGCATGTGTTCTTCTTCGCCAGTGTGTGTCTGGCTATTTTATTCCTTTTCGTCACTGTCCAGGAACAAGCCAATCCACTTTCCATGTTTTTGCCCAAACTAAGTAACGAGTGCAAAAATGTTTTGGAGGAAATGGTGCAAGGATTTTGGACACGGAAGACAGTATCATTTGAAGCAAGAGAGAAAGTTGAAAGATTCTTGATTGCATCAAGAGGAAAATATTTTGTACCAACGACCTTGGCACGCCCGGATGGTATTTGTGGAAATGCAACCTTTGAGTTTCTGAAGGGCCTCCAACATCAGGCTCTGTGGTTCCGACCCCTGTGTGATCCGTTTGGTCCAACACCATGTTGCTATAACAACAAGTGTGTGTACAAGACTGTGGAGGAATGTATGTGTGACAATTGTTTTGACATGCGCAGACCTATTAATGCAGAACTGGCAGAATGGAAACCATCCAGTCCACAATGTCAGATCTCAATGTTCGACAAAAACACTGCGTGTGAACTAATTAAAGGAGCTACAATCTACTACGTCGGGGACTCTTTCTTAAGGCAGATGTACACAGTCACTGTCAACCTCCTCGCTGACAACTACAAAGATTCCATGTTAAAAAATTCTACACCAAAAGGTTTGTTTCTCTATTTCTTTGTCTGTTACACCATACTCAGGCTGTTTGATGTCAGTCTGTGGAAAGTAGACTGGACCAGACTGAACCAGACTGAACCAGACAATGCAGAGCTTGACATCATGAGCATCAATCTATGCATTTGAGGTACAATGACATGCACCAAGAACATCAGCAAGTCTGACCACCTGATCCCGTCACTCACCTGCCCAAATGGTACGTGATACAGCTTTGGGGCACATATAATCCAGGTGTTTTACTTCTGCATCAAACAGAGCACTTCAGTTGAATGTACTTGTCGTGCTACATTCTATTCCTTTGATTGACATACAAAGTCGAGGAGATGAAGAATGAGGTCAAGGTTTTATAGATTTATGGATATACTTTACTCAGTATAGGCAGGGTTTCCACATAGATTCTAATGTCGTTGTCAAGCAAGTGATACTTGAGAAGTAATTTTGGGTGATATATACATGAGATGTTTGGACAATGGATCAGGGATGAGGCGAAAATGAGTTGTTTGTACAATAGAAGAGGTCGATAACACAGATGGTATACAAGAGTAAGTAGGTTGATTGGAAGCCAGTTCATGGTTGTAAACATAGGGGATTAAGGAGGCTGTATGAGATTATCCCTCTCTTGACTTTGATAGGGTGACATTCAATTTACCCTTTTTTTTGTTCTGTCTAAGAAGTAATACAAATGTGACCAATGCAGTCGCGTATCATCATTTACAAACCATTGGTTTCAGGGTCTACCTTTGGTTACATGTATTTGCTATACCCCCAATCTAAAAAGGTCTGGGTTTATAGTTATACCAAGGAATTCTGTCCATCCGTCTGTCCAAAGACATGTTTTTGATGTTTTATTCTTTTGTAGAATTACAGTAATTTAAACATTTGAACTTTGAATACTTTGTTGAATGAATAGCTTAAAAAGAAACTCCAAATGTTTTCAAAGTTGGAAAGTAGATTTTCTGTCTAGAGGAGAGCTGCATCACAGCGTTTGTTTCCGATTTTCTAATTTTTGAAGGAGTTGTATCAATTTATATATTGTTAACGTTAAAAAATCAAGGGAAGATTTGCTATGACATTGGTACATTCTGACGTGGATACACTATGACATTGGACATTGGTACATTCTCACATAGATACACTATGACATTGATACATTCTGACATGGATACACTATGACATTGGTACATACTCACATAGATACACTATGACATTGGTACATACTCACATAGATACACTATGACATTGGTACATTCTGACATGGATACACTATGACATTGGTACACTATGACATTGGTACACTCTGACATTGGTACACTATGACATTGGTACACTGTGGCAGGGATACACTATGACATTGGTACACTGTGACAGTGATACACTATGACATTGGTACATACTCACATAGATACACTATGACATTGGTACACTGTGACAGGGATACACTATGACATTGGTACGTACTCACATAGATACACTATGAGATTGGTACATTCTGACATGGATACACTGACATTGGTACATACTCACATAGATACACTATGACATTGGTACATTCTGACATGGATACACTATGACATTGGTACATACTCACATAGATACACTATGACATAGGTACATACTCAGATAGATACACTATGACATTGGTACGCTGTGACAGGGATACACTATGACATTGGTACACTGTGACAGGGATACACTAGGACATTGGTACACTATGACAGGGATACACTATGACATTGGTAAACTAAGACAGAGATACACTATGACATGGATACACTATGACAGAGATACACTATGACATGGATACACTATGACATTGGTAAACTAAGACAGAGATACACTATGACATGGATACACTATGACATTGGTAAACTAAGACAGAGATACACTATGACATTGGTACACTATGACATGGATACACTATGACAGAGATACACTATGACATGGATACACTATGACATGGATACACTATGACATGGATACACTATGACATGGATACACTATGACATGGATACACTATGACATGGATACACTATGACATGGATACACTATGACATTGGTACACTATGACATGGATACACTATGACATGGATACACTATGACATGGATACACTATGACATGGATACACTATGACATGGATACACTATGACATGGATACACTATGACATGGATACACTATGACATGACACTGACAGATACACTATGACATGGATACACTATGACATGGATACACTATGACATGGATACACTATGACATTGGTACACTATGACTTGGATACACTATGACATTGGTACACTATGACATGGATACACTATGACATTGGTACACTATTACAGGGATACACTATGACAGAGATACACTATGACATGGATACATTATGACATTGGTACACTAAGACAGAGATACACTATGACATGGATACACTATGACATGGATACACTATGACATGGATACACTATGACAGAGATACACTATGACATGGATACACTATGACATGGATACACTATGACATTGGTAGACTATGACATGGATACACTATGACATTGGTACACTCTGACAGGGATACACTATGACATTGGTACACTATGCCATTGGTACACTGTGACATGGATACACTATGACATTGGTACACTATGACATTGGTACATTATGACATTGGTACACTACGACAGGATACACTATGACATTGGTACACTCTGACAGGGATACACTATGACATTGGTACACTATGCCATTGGTACACTATGACATTGGTACACTGTGACAGGGATACACTATGACATGGATACACTATGACATGGATACACTATACTAAGATCGTATTACAATTGGGGCATTTATACACCAAGGTGTTTGGTATACTAGGATATTACTACACTGGGAGCATTGATACACCAAGGTGTTTGGTTTACTAGGATATTACTACTCTGGGGGCAATGATACACCAAGGTGTTTGGTACACTAGGATCGTACTACACTGGGGGCATTGATACACCAAGGTGTTTGGTACACTAGGATCGTACTACACTGGGGGCAATGATACACCAAGGTGTTTGGTACACTAGGATCGTACTACACTGGGGGCATTGATACACCAAGGTGTTTGGTACACTAGGATTGTACTACAATGTGGGCATTGATACACCAAGGTGTTTGGTACACTAGGATCATACTACACTGGGGTACACTAGGATCGTACTACGCTGGGGGCATTGATACACCAAGGTGTTTGGTACACTAGGATCGTACTACACTAGGGGCATTGATACACCAAGGTGTTTGGTACACTAGGATCGTACTACAATGTGGGCATTGATACACCAAGGTGTTTGGTACACTAGGATCGTACTACACTTGGGCATTGATACACCAAGGTGTTTGGTATACTAGTATCGTACTACACTGGGGGCATTTATACACCAAGGTGTTTGGTACACTAGGATCGTATTACAATGGGGGCATTGATACACCAAGGTGTTTGGTACACTAGGATCGTACTACACTGGGGGCAATGATACACCAAGGTGTTTGGTACACTAGGATATTACTACACTGGGGTCATTGATACACCAAGCTGTATGGTACACTAGGATCGTACTACACTGGGGGCATTGATACACCAAGGTGTTTGGTACACTAGGATCGTACTACACTGGGGGCATTGATACACCAAGGTGTTTGGTACACTAGGATCGTACTACACTGGGGCATTGATACACCAAGGTGTTTGGTACACTTGGATATTACTGCACTGGGGCATTGATACACCAAGGTGTTTGGTACACTAGGATATTACTACACTGGGGGCATTGATACTCCAAGGTGTTTGGTATACTAGGATATTACTACACTGAGGGCATTGATACACCACGGTGTTTGGTATCCTAGGATATTACTACACTGGGGGCAATGATACACCAACCAAGGTGTTTGGTACACTAGGATCGTACTACACTGGGGGCATTGATACACCAAGGTGTTTGGTACGCTAGAATCGTACTACACTGGGGGCATTTATACACCAAGGTGTTTGGTACACTAGGATCGTACTACACTGGGGTACACTAGGATCGTACTACACTGGGGGCATTTATACACCAAGGTGCTTTGTATACTAGGATATTACTACACTGGGGGCATTGATACACCTAGGTGTTTGGTACACTAGGATATCACTACACTTGGGGCATTGATACACCAAGGTGTTTGGTATACTAGGATATTACTACACTGGGGGCATTGATACACCAAGGTGTTTGGTACACAAGTACCGTACTACACTGGGGGCAATGATACACCAAGGTGTTTGGTACACTAGGATCGTACTACACTGGGGGCATTGATACACCAAGGTGTTTGGTACACTAGAATCGTACTACACTGGGGGCAAGATACACCACGGTGTTTGGTACACTAGGATCGTACTACACTGGGGCATTTATACACCAAGATGCTTTGTATACTAGGATCGTACTACACTGGGGGCATTGATACACCAAGGTGTTTGGTACACTAGGATACACTGGGACAATTGTACTCTGAGATACTGAAGACATGACCACTGCAACATTTACGCATTAGGGGACCAGGTCATGTGTAGAAAGATTTCACCGCTGTGGTATGTTTGCAGGTTGGAAGGAATACTGTTCTGGGTGGATGCAACTGCTGTGCTACAAATACCTGAACTTCAGAGCCCCCGTGTGTGACGGAAAGAACAACGTCATCCATGTAGAACTCCTCACACATAATCATGGTCCCAATCTTCTAAACTTACTCAAAAGTCAAAAGAACAAGAAGTCTATTTTCTTCGTGGGTATTGGTATCCACGGAACATATAATGAGCAACTGGTCTGGAAGAACTTTCTTTCCCCATCAATCAACTTTCTACATGAAAACGCAAAAGGTAAGATTCCATGGCCAAAAATGGTGTGGTTGTCTCCACATGCTCCTGGGATACTGAAGACTCCCCGTGTGCCAGGCCAGAGTTACAGTAGTGTGGTCAGATATAACGCCTTCATCAACAGTAATCTGAGAGCAGCTGGAGTACCTATATTGGACACCTTTAACATGACAGACGGCATCATGAGCTACGATGGGGCACACTACGGGTTTGGAATTAACATGATCAAGTCTCAAATTGCCTTCAACTACCTGAAGCATCTGCAGGCAAATGGCAAATGGTGACTCACCAGACGAGAGTGTAATTCTGATTCTGTATATCTTCATGGACAACAGACTGTGATACAATTAAAACTGGTACTCGTAAATACAAATAATGTGTACTTTAATATACATTGAAGCTCAAATCTGCTAGGTATAAGTGAAAGGTTTTTTTTACCAAAAGCTCAAATGGTAAAATGTGGTTATTAGTACAAAAAATAGAGAGTGTGTAGTAAACAAATTTAGGTCGGTAGAAATAGTTTTCAATAAATGGTATTTCTTTCAAATGTTTAAAACAGAAATCTTTAGAACTGTAAGTATATAATTGCACAAGGACTGTTAGATTTGATGGGTCAGTATCGTTTCTACAGAGGAGACTGGCCATAATTGTTGCATGCACATATGCTGGAGAAGTCTTAAGACAAATTTAAACCAAACTGTAAGGTAGTAACAGAGATACACACTTTTACCTATACAGCATTTGTGTGTTTCTCATGCACTGTGCAGTTACTATATAACTGTTATATTGGCTAGGCTGTAAACGTTTGGTTTTTCTACCGACCAAAACCAGGTCAGTATTTGATGGATAACTTGTCAGACAAGTCTGGCAAGCAGTGCAAATAATGTTTCTTTATACTAGCATATTTTGTATGCATTTAGTCTTCTGTCATAATATACTGAGAATGTTAAGAATGTGTGAAACATAGTAAGAAAGAAATTGACTGACTAGAGTTTCTTGTACTATATTTTCTTAGTACTGTGAAAAGGAATCTGTAAGTTACACTGGGAGACAGGAATAATACACTATGAAAAGTGTTTTGAACTGAGATTTGTAACAATGCTCACAGTATGAAAATGAGGTCACTTGGAAGTTCATGAAAAAAGTTAAATATTTAAGTTTTATTTTTAGCTATTATGTGTTTATTTAGTCATTTGCCATGAACAATACACTGTAAAAAATTGTATCTTAAGAATTTGTGAAACATTACCAGTAAGATTTTCCAAGGCATGTGAATTTTTTAGATGATATCTACGACTTGATGTAACATACTCTGAAGCAAGTTTTCAAATGACAGAATTTAACTGTAAGAATTATGAGCTGTATGCATAAACTGGCCAAACCACTTTGTTGGAGAGATCTCCAAATTTAATACACCATGATCTTTTAGGTGATATTGCTGGAATATTGCTAAAAGCTGCATAAAACCGTCCACTCACTGACTTTTACAAGCTACATGAAGATTGGCTGGAATGGATACACAAATTGTCAAACAAGGCTAACAAGACTCAACCATCATAAAAATATGAGGTTATGTGAAAACTTGAGGTCATATTTGCTTATTTTATGATTATTATCTACCTGTCATGAATAATAGTCTGCGAACAATACGTCAAAGGTGGTAGTAATCAACGGATGACACAGACACCCAAAAGTAAGGGAGATAACTCCCAACAGGTCTGACAACATAGCCCTGCAGGTGGAATGTTCAGAACCTCTTTGCAATATCATCGTCTTAAAGTTGCCCTTAAGTATCGTCAAGTCACACAAATTCGATCGTCATGTAACTTCGATCGCCCATTTTGAATTGTAATTGTCACAATACGTAGTGATAACTTACGATATCTGCAGCTTTGATCTTCTAGTGACACCACTCTCATTCGTTTGGACCGGAAATTGTTTCGTGTCAAGTTACCAAATGTAAGTTATAGCTCATTCTCAGCAAACGACTCCTTTTTAACCCTAGATCAATAATGTAACTTTATCAGCTCAAATAAAATGTAAACAGTATAAATTTCACACGTTGTAAATTGACAGCACCCCTGTCTTCTGTTTGTTTACATTGCTCGTCTAATTGTGACATGTCCAGACACGTGATATCCTTGTCAAAATTTAAAACTTTGGAAACAAGTAAGGGACATTTCTTGTAGAAAACTTAATGCTTTTTGAGAATTTCCGTGAATTTGTACCTGATGAAGTTTGAGCTATTGCCTCATTGATAAATACAACCTTGGCACAATGTACCCACCCTACATGTTAGCACAGAACACATTTACGTTTCTGCAAGCCAGTTCGTGGTGTTTGTCTACATTCTGAGGTTTGATGCCCGTCACGATGAGCTTGAAGAATAATTCCCTGCATAATACTTGTATATAAGCTGAATATTTGTGACTTTTCATCGTTTTTAGAAGTATTGAAACATAAAATGAACGTTTCATGGACATAAATACCATAAAATTACTTGGGACTGCTCTAGCTCTGAATTTGACACAAGAGATCGTCCTTACAATCTCATCCTGTTTACGCGACAAGCCAGCCAATCATATGATCGAACTTATGTGGCGTACACTCGTTCTCAATAAAATGGGCGCATTTGACCATATCAAAAGCCGAAAAATAAAGTTCATTTATGTTGATTAACTATAAGATTATTTCAGAGTGGAGTATTAAGTATATAAAATACAACAAGAGTTGTCAAGTAATCTTTGTTTTACACATACTATTTTGAGACTCAAAGTAATGCTTCGAGTTTCCAAAAATTTAGCTAAGTAATGTACGTTATGGTGAAAGCAATACTCCATTACATTGATTAGTATTAAACAGAGGTAGTCAAGATATATATTCTTCTTCCTTGCTATAGTGGAGCATTTTCTGGTGATAAAATACACAAATAACTGTCATGAATATCAAGAAAGAGTTCCAGTTGAGATCTTCAAAGGTCACTTATATTTTCGGCCCTAATCCACGTCCATGAAATTTCAAACTACATCATTTGGTTCGTGTGATGTTCACTAAATACATATGTTTAGAGACAAGAACACTTCTAGAAGTCAACATTTGAACTATAATCTACGCAATTATTTCAGAATGAAGTATTTGAATGTGTTCGTTTCTGAAATGTGTTCCATTAACATATACAAATGAAATGTAACGTACATTACTGCCTTTGTGGCACAGTTCTGAAACTATGAATTCTCACACAAATACCACGTATTTCACTTCAACAGACAGAAAAAATTAAGATGAGGTAAAAAACAACATAAATCGTTTGTTTCAAGCAACCTTTATTTTAAAAATGGTAAATTTGTAACGTACATTTCTCAAATTCATGTTTATATGGCTTTATGAATACTTCAAACAAACAGTAAGGTTTGACTGCGAAAAAGCAAACACACTTTCACTCAATTGAAATTTGTAACTGCAAACAAATCCAACACTCGCTGCTTCTCAGCGGCATCCATTTTCAGCATTCTTTGAGATTTGCTGATTGGAACGGGTTCACCTATCTTACACAGGATATCAGAATGACATCAGCACGTTTAAGCCACTGGAAAAGCTGCTTTTTTCTTCTCCATAAAAGATATTTCCATGTCATTATCTTCTCCATTTCTTGAAGCACTTTCCCTAGATACCAGCTCGTAGACAGCTGCTACGTAGTCACCCTCTGCGTATTCTTCAGTGTGTCCAGGAACACTTCGATCTGCAGCCTGCTGATTCAAATCCTGTGAACTATCCTGAAACAGGCCTTCTGGATCCGTTGTCTTTCTGTGCTTTCGGTCCAGAGATTGTCATGACCAGTCGTCACACATTTATTGAGCAATGCATACATCACAGTAACAGCTAGTGTCCCTGAAAGCAATCGTGGAATCACCTAACCAGACTACAGCATGCAACTTGAATGTTTCTTTTGAGGGCAGTCACGTTCCTTGTCATAAGCCGTTCAGCTGTTGCCTTACATTCATCAGAGGACACAAACAGGAATTTCACTCCCTGCATGTTTGAGCTCAGTGCCCATTTGTAAAAATCTTGGACATCTTGGATTAACACCTTACCACTACGTACGGCCTTGTCCGCCATTCTTTTAGTAGTTCCTCCAAGGCCATCGCAAGGGCCCTTGTCATGGCCTACCTCGAAGCAGTTCCAGCGAGCGTTTGAATTGAAAATCTTCTTGTGGTTGGCCACTGTAAAGAACACCTGTTTGTTTCTGTATTGGCTCGTTGGGCCATCTGTCCAATAATGAACCATTTCAAGATATGGATCAAGTAACTTTACTTCAGGCATGAGCTTGTCCAGAAATGCGTGGACAGTGGATGATGAATGTGAAAGTTTATCAGAAACAACAACGAAACTCTTGTGCAAGAGCTGTTGATCTGTGCTTCGGTAATATACCACGACAGGATGAATAGTTACACATGTCTGATTCCAATAAGCTGATTGAATTTCTTCAACAGATTTGCAGTTGAAGTTTTCGGCAAAGTCCATCTGAATCAAGATGTGATACTGTGGCAGATGTTCCTTTAGCCTCTGTATTTCCCTGAACTGCTTTTTCACTCGAAACACATGTTCCTTGAAATCAGAAATTTGAGTGTGCATGGTTTCCACAAAGATTTTCTTCTCTACTTCAGCCTCAACAATTCTCATTACCTTACCTAGGTCAGGGATAACACTTTGAACTCGATTCTAGCTTGTACTGGGAGCCAGTGGAGATTCATCAATATTGGTTTTACATTGGATGTTTTCTTGCAGCGATGAATAAGCCGAGCTGAGGCATTTTGTACTCTCTGAAGCTTCACGAGTAGATCTTGCCTTATGTTGATAAGCAAACTGTTGCCATAGTCAATCCTGGACAGAATCAGAGACCTGACTAACTGGCTAGTGGCTTCCTGAGTCAACAAATGTCTAATCTGGCCAATACTTCTCAGGTGGTAGAAGCAGATTCTACAGGTGTGCTGTATATGGTTGTCCATTGTCATATTAGAGTCTGGAAAGACACCAAGATCTTTCGCTGCATCAGAAAATGGTATTGATGAATCACCAATACGAAGCGAAGATTCAGAGATAGATTTTCGTTTAGTGTCTGTACCCACAAGAAGAACCTCTGTCTTGCTGTCGTTTAACTTAAGTTTGTTAGTCACCATCCAGGATTTTATCGCAGATGTGCAGTGTTCAAGGTCACTAAGTGCTGTAGAGGTATCTTGTTCGGGAAATGATTTGTGTAGCTGTGTGTCATCAGCGTACGAGTGATGAGCAACGTCATGGGCATCGATGACATCACAAAGAGAAGCTGTATATAGAGTGAATAGGATCGGTCCAAGGACCGAACCCTGAGGTATGCCGCAGTTAAGGGGAACTGGATCTGATGAGGCTTTATCGATGATCACTGATTGGCATCTATGATGAAGATAGGATTCAAACCACTTGTGAGCAGTTCCTGACAATCCAATTCGTGTCTTGAGGCAGTGAAATAGCTTGTCATGATCGATTGTGTCGAATGCCGCTGTTAGGTCTAATAGCACTAGCAGATTTAGGTTCCGCTTATCTGTAGAACGCAGAAGATCGTTTGTAATTCTTAACAGACATGTTTCCGTGCTATGACAGGCTCTATATGCCTACTGATATCTATCATTAAGACCAAATGCTTCAAGATGGGATGTCGGTCGTATTTTCACTGCTTTCTCGAGGATTTTTGACAGGAAAGATAAATTTGAAAAATGTGGAATGTCACGCCAGATTCTCTCAAGTTCTGTTGCAAGGTCAAGGACGTTATCTGGCGGATGAGGAAGACGGCGTAGACGTCGATCCATCTCGTCCCAAACATGCTCTATCGGGGAGAGATCCGGTGAATTTGCAGGCCAAAGCAGTAAGTCAACCCTTGCCATATGAGGGCGGGCATTGTCCTGTTGGAATGTTAACCCAGGGCCATGACGTTGCAGAAAAGGAATTGCCACAGGTCGGAGAATCTGATCCCTGTAGCCCACACCAGTTAAGTTGCCCTGAACAATCACCAAAGGAGTTCTTTGGCGTGCTGTTATTCCACCCCAAATCATCACGGAACCACCACCAAAGCGATTCCTCTCCAAGACACAGGCCTGTGCATAACGTTCTCCCATGCGTCTATAGGCACGTTGACGTCCATCACTATGGGAAATGTTAAACCTGGACTCATCTGTAAAAACAACATTTCTCCACCAAAACAAGGGTATGTGGACATGATTTCGGCACAACATTCAGCGAGCTTGTCGATGACGTTGTGTCAGGATAGGCCGTATGGCGGGACGTCGTGGTCTGATCCCGTGATGACGTAAACGGCGAAGTCCTGGGATGGTTCGGGCAGTCATCACTGCAGTCTGAAACCTGTGGCGATGATGGGTCACCCTTATCCATCTGTCCTGTCTTGGCGTTGTTACACGTGGACGTCATTTGTGTTCTGGTAGCGTCTCACCAGTGCAGAAATGGTGTTCCGCTGGCAGTGGAAATGTGCAGCCACTGGCCTCATGACGTTGTGCAGACGTGAGCCTTGGCATGCTATGCCTTTCAATAGCCGTTTAATTTTTTGAACAATCATAGGGGCAGGGGTTGTGACAGTATTGTGTGGCATTCATTTGCTCTGTTTCTCTTTCCCGGAATGCACGTGCAACAACGTATTGCACGTCTCAAGGACAAACCAACTGACGTCACGGAACGTGGCACGTGCATCCATGTTCGATACATGTCACTAATCTCTGAGTTTTTAATCCTTATGTGTCTACACAGGTTTGATAAATTTAGATTTTAAATTTTTGTATGCACAGTTTCTTTATGTGCCTAGTATATAAAAAATATTTAATTTTACTCTACACATATGCTTCAAAGGATCACAGAACTCCTGGCTTTCTTTGTTAAGTGCCCACCATTGACATCTTATCACTGTTGCTGTTTCACATGTACCTGTGAAGCTATCGGCTTCCTAGATTTCTTCATTTCCCACCTAATGAGGAGTAAGAATAGGTAGTAACTCATAAACGTCATGTCCCTC